ATATGACCAGATCGCGTTATATCCAATCTTGTACAATAAGGTTTAGATATTCTGATAAGATTAGGGCTATCAAGGTTTCAACGAAAGTCTGCTATTCGTGCTAGATTCAGTTTCGATAAGATGGACGTGATCAGCATCTAATATTCGGTACAATATATTGATAGGATAACTCTAGAGTAGGAAAACTTGTCATACTTACCAGGTATGCAGACAAAAAATGGTCTAGAAAGCTTGAAACGTCCGTCATCATAAACAGCAGCGGTCGAAGAGCAGCGGTCGATCTTCAGTCTGATAAACGCATGGAGATAAGCCACAATATCATATTTTGGAATCAGATCGTTGGTCCTCCGTACATTGTTACGTTGTTGTACTGCTGTTCGGCTTTCGCAAACATACAGCTTTCTCTCAGTGTGTGTTTCTATGTGACTGTAGACTGCAGTGTATTTTTAATAACATTGTTATGTATTTACATTTGCACTTCTCTGACTCGTTTGGTTATGAAATGATGACTCATTATTATAAAAACCCTAACCCGGAAACCCTCATCTAAATCTTCGATATCCAACCATTTTTGTTTTTAAAAATAAATAAATAAAATATAACAAAACAAAATATAGTCAGGCACAACAAGTCAACAATAAAGCACTTCCAAAGTTATTAAGTTATTTGTTATTACACAGTTACACTCTGGCTCCGGAGTCTGGAGTCTGGTGACTGGTCTCTGTCACTCTGATAAAGTGATACATAGAGTAAGACTGTAAGTTGACACCGACTACGTATAATGTTCTATGTAGATTGTAGTGTGTACATGTTAAACTGTGTATCAGAGTATGCAATATGTATGCTCTCTAAGAGCAATAGAGCAAGCGAGCGAGTGAGAGAGTAGAGATTAAGAACTCTATAAAGTAGAGAGCAGGTAAATTCTAAATGGAGAGAGCCGGGACTCCCGGGAGCCCAGTGCGCCCCACAAGACGAGACCAGAGTCGCCCGACTCAGAGTCTCACACTGACAAAATCTATTTATAGAATACTATTGTCTGATTATGTTATAAATATGGTGCACAGCAGTAAAAACCGGGAAACTCAGGCCGATTTTGTAAGTTGAATAACATTTTTTTTGGCTTGACCGACTTTCAAAAAAAAAAATGCACCAAGTATTTGGTAGATCGAGGGCTGCCCAAAACAGCTGGGTGCCTATGTCATACATGTCGCATACATACTCTTCACCTATTTTTAAAATCGGACACTGAGTCGCACCCGGACTCGTTTGGGATGTTTCCGGTTTCATGGTACTATTTATGACTATATAGTAGTATGTACTATGTAGTGTCAAGTCCTCTGTACGTATGTACATACGTCATACTTACATGATTTATTTTTTTGAATTTTGTTTTGTCTTACATCTTAAGTGTAGGACACAACCGCAGTCAGCAGAACTCTGAGAACCGCGAACATGAGAACTCGGAGAACAGCGGTATGTACACGTATCATTAAAAGTAAATAGTAAATACAGGTATGTAACAACTAGCACCGAGTGACTCCCGACTCTCAGTACTCACAGGAGTCAACAGCTCAATGCCTCACGGACTACAGACTCTAGCTCACTAGAGTCTAGCGAGTACACAGAGTCACAGACTCGCAACTGACTGACAACTGACAACTCTCACGTACCCAATCGTACTGCCCATCTGGTGTATACGTCATACAGTCATACACAGGTAGCCGTAGGACCCGTGGTCCCGTAGTCGAAGGCGGGCAGCATCTCTGGTATCAGTGGTATGTATGTACATATCCCGCATACAAAGTCAATGCACTACACAGCACTAACAGCGAGTCAGTGATTGGCGACAGCGGGCGAGTGAGGCGACGTAGGTTCAAAACTTTTATCCACTATATACATACATTATAGCTTATACATAGCCCACAGCGACACAGCCCCACACACACGTGAAAAGCTTTGTTCCGATGATGAAAAACCGAAAAATGGACTCCGAAGAGTGACTCAGTCGCCTCAGAAGAGTTATCGCGTCACAGATTGTTACCACGCCACTGACTACTCTCAACTCTGCCACTGCCACTATGCTGTCGCGGTGCGCCTATCAGGTATCACTGCATCAGTTAGTAATATTTATCATAAATACATAGCTAGGCTTAGTGCAAATAGGTGGAATAAATGTGAATGACTATATAGGTTAGAACATGCGACCAATTTATGTTATTTTTCACTGCACATCAGCATCAATTACATATCAATTACATATCAAATCACAATGAACTCTGTATTCTTCACCGTACTCGCCACGATTGCTGGGGCAAATGCTGTATCATTACGAGATATACTATCGAATCATCAGATAGTGACACTTCTCGCTGCGAACTCTGTTGTCGAAGCAACACTCGGCTTAAAAGGGAACGGGATTAACAAGAAAGTTTTGTCAACTGCAGCTCTTATAATCAAAAGCGATATGATTGCGGCTGGTTGTTACGATGATGAGTCTTTGCATTTTGCATCGTGTTTCGCGACCGTCTGTCTTGGCACATTCCTGCATCTGTTCAACTCAGAGATTCATATATCGAATGCCCACTTATCGTTCGACGATGCAGTAAATAGTACCGAAAAGGTTGCGACCGGAAAGAAGCAATCTCAGAACAGAGTCAATATTTTGGGAATGCAGAAGGTCGTTTACACTGCCGACGATTGCTTAAATACAGAGGACAACCAAACTACCCAATAATCATTGGATTGTACCACAGTGCTGGAGAATGAACTAAAAATCTCTTATCCAGAATCGGTGAACACTCTTGAGTTTAGCAAGAGTGAACTTCTTGAACCGGTATCTGTATGCGCGCACTCAAGCTCCATAGAGTTGACGCGTCAGTGTGCTGAAGCCACGATAGACGACGCCTTTAAAGCGTTCTCCAATCTCTAGATGAAATGACGTTGCAGGATACCTGTTGACGATGTTTCGAATTCACCACTATTTAGTAGCTCAAAATAAATGTATTATTCTATTAAAAGAAGTATCAGTACAAAAACAGCAACAGATATATATATATATACATATTAATATATTCATATATTTATATATATACAATATA